AATTTCTTTCTTTTTTGGTAGTTAACTCTATATTTCAGAGTAACATGAATATATCTTGATTTTCAAGAAAAATAACTATTTTCCAAAATGTCCTATGAGGGCCTTTAAGAAGACCCTCAATAAATCTCAATTACTGTTTCATGGCTTTGTGTAGTTCCCTCCCACATTGAATAGGTCTGAGTGACTCATGCCTTATCATTTTCACTATTTCCCCTTGGAAACATCCAATATTAGAGCTTATTGTGCTTCTGTTCCAATCTGGACTGACAAATTTCCAGGCTAATACAAAGCTTTGCCCTGATTATTCCCTTCCCTATCATCATGGAAATTCCTTATTCATTTTTTTATTTTCATGTCATATCATATAGTTGTTTGGATTCCATCTCTTTCTTTCTTTCTTTCTCTCTCTTTCTTTTTCTTTCTTTTCTTTTCTTTCTTTCTTTCTTTCTTTCTTTCTTTCTTTCTTTCTTTCTTTCTTTCTTTCTTTCTTTCTTTTTTTCTTTCTTTTTCTTTCTTTCTTTCCAGAATCTCACTTTGCCACCCTGGGTAGCATGCTATGACATCATAGCTCACAGCAACCTCGAACTCTTGAGCTTGATCAATCCTCTTGCCTCAGCCTCCCAAGTAGCATACACAGGCATATGGACTACAACAGGCATACACCACCACGTCTGGCTAGTTTTTCTATTTTTAGAAGATATGGGGGTCTTGTTCTTGCTCAGGCTGGTCTCAAACTTCTGAGCTCAAGTGATCCACTCTCCTCAGCCTTTCATAGTTCTAGGATTATAAGTGAGAGCCACTGCACTCAGCCCACATCTATCTCTTTCTTGAAAGAGATAGCTCTTTCTATCTCTTTCTTTTCTCTTTACTCCTCTCTTTTGTTGTAGCAAATTCTTTAACAGGTTTTCAAAAAAGAGTGTAGAGAATGGTAAGTTTTTGAGGCTCATATGAATGTGAAACTGCCAAACAATTTTATTCTACTCTTATAGTGAATATCTCACTGAACAACTGTCCTTTATTATTTCATATAATAATAGGACAATTTATTTTAGAATAAATGAACTATTTACTTTAGCATCATACTGTGTTAGGTGCTTAAAAAGCTGCTTTGGGACCCTGTTTTCCATAACTATAATACAATGAGAAAGCTCAAATTTGGTCACACTTAGAATTGTTAATTTATATACTATTCCAGTGCAGAAAATCTAAAAGTGCTTCTTCTTTACTTGAGGAAAAAAAGAAAAACATACATAGAAGTTGAGTCATTACATGTACATTACTATGTGATTTTTTTTTTTTGAGACAGAGTCTCACTATGTCATCCTTGGTAGAGTGCTGTGGCATCACAGCTCACAGCAACTTCATACTCTTGGGCTTAAGTGATTCTCTTGCCTTAGCCTCCCAAGAAAGTGGGACTACAGGTGTCTGCCACAAAGCCCAGCTATTTTTGTTGCTGTTGTTGTCGTTGTTTTAGCAGGTTCTGGCCTGGTTTGAACCCACCAGGCCCAGTGCAGGTGACTGGCGCCCTAACCACTGAGCTACAGGTGCCGAGCTTATTATGTGATATTTAGTTCCTGATCATCATCTGTAAGAAAGATAACAAGGAAGAGATAAGAATGAAGATTGTGTCTCTAAAAACAAACCGATTTTGATAGTACTTCTCTAATGTGCATAGGAATCATCCCAAGATCTTGATAAAATGAAGATTCTGATTCAGTGAATCCGGGAATGGGACCAAAGAGTCTGCATTTCCAGTAAGCTCCCAGGTGATCTCAATGCTACCAGTCCATGGAACACATTCTGATTTGAAAGAATGTAGACCAAAGCCACCTGCATACCTATACATGCACATGCACACACACATGTGCACACCAAAGTAGCTTTGCTTAAGCAGGTGTACCATTCTGGAGAATTTATAATGTATCTGATTTCAATTTTAAAATCATAACCATTTTCTCACATCTTTCAAAGAGCTGCCAATTGTATACGTATTTCTTTTCAGTACTATAACTACAGTCCATTTTTGTCTCTGTTGGCAAGCAGTATCCTAAAGATTTCAAAACATGTCAATGGTTTTTTTCATGAAGAGATCTCACAAAGAACCACCTCATTGTTAGTTGTTCATTAATAGTTCTCTTACTGACAACTTGGATGTGTGCCTCTTAATTTTGCAAACCTTTTAAAATTAAAACTATTTCCAGAGCATTTAAAATACTTCTGGCAATAATGTCTGTGAGGAGGTAAAATTCTTAACTTTCCTCCTACAGATTGTTTCTTTTATGATTCCATAGCCCTGTGGGTTTCCGTAATAGTCCAAAAATTCCACAATGTAAACCATGTGTGAGCTGAAAGACATCTGAAATCATTGACTGCCTTAGGGTATCAGGATTAGGCAACTATAAACTCTGCCTTTATGCAATTGGCCTCGAAGAGATGATCTCCCGGTTAGATCCTTCACAGAAATTCCTGCTTTTTCTTTCTCCTTCCTCCATCCCTCCACTTCCTCCACTTAGAGGAAATCCATTTATGGCTCAGATGCTCAAGGATCACATGTTTACTCCCTGTGGAGGCCTTTCAAGCCAGACCCCCAGCGTGGACATGTCTCTCTGTGTATATGACAAATAGTATAATGTGAATACACTGGTTGGTTTTTATGGTATTTTAAGCAAGACCTCAGCCACTCTGGGGAAAGAAAGGCTCATGTGTGAACCTCCATTCTTTAGTTCCTAGATGCTGGCAACGAGAGGAGATATATATTTAGAAAGAAGAGGCTAATCTGTGCCAGTCACCACTGCTGGTGACCCAACAAGGACTACATCTGAGAATTTCACAAGAAGTCCAGGGATCTTAGAGCTGGATGGCCCACAGAGAGTATCTCATGTAACCTGCTCTTCACTTCAGGAATCCTTAATACAGAGTCTTTTAGATTCATTCATTCAAGGTGCCAAGAATCCTTTGTGAAGGGGTAAAGACCCTGGCTGGACAGCTCCTGTTGTTAAAAATCTGCAGCTGTGAGCAGTCACGTTTTCCCTCCGCTGCTCTGAAGTTTCATGCTAGTCTTGCTTACCTCGGGGCTTATCTTACCTGTTTTTGCCATTTCGATTTTACAGTGTTAATTCTTTGTCCAAAGTTCCCAGTATTGTAACTTGAAAGTGCTCCTCAAATAATTTCCCTTTAGTTAGGACCTTTATGCCTTACTGTCTTTTTCAGAGAGTTGATGAAATCTGCCTCACCATAGAAGATGCACCTTTTCTCTCTCATTTTCAAACGCACCAATGAAGAATTAAGCCTTGTGCATTAGGCCACACAGACTGCTGGTGACCCAACAAGGACTACAGCCGAGGAAACTCGGCTCCCTGTCCCGTGGGCTACACAGCTATCATTTCTGATCACTGTAAATTGACACAGTACTTCTCCTGGTGAACATGTTGGGGACGATCACATAGCGAACCAAAAAAGTCAGTGTATGTTAAGTAATGTTCTCAGCTGAAAAGTGTGAGTTTTCCAGGATTCCTACTGATACCGACCACAAATGGTCCACACGTTATTAGTGAGATCGACCCATGACCCTTTTGCAGGACCTTTCAACACAGACTGACTTAATAATATTCATAGTCTTGGGCTTTTGCTTTGCCTGACACAGATTGTGTCCCAGTGACATCCTCCTGACAAGGCACATCTGATTGTTGGCAGCTGCGGCAGCTGCTGAATTCTTTAGGGCTTCTCTGCTGTGCCCTCCAATATGCTTCCTGAGAGGCCGAGCTAGTCTCTGCTTAAAATTTCAACTGTATACTTCTAAACCTGAAACAGATGTTACCTTGGCTACTGTCCTTTGCCATGAGCTTCTTTATTCACATTTTATACAAAGCAGGTAAAAAGCAAGTCATTTGCTGACTTTACTCTGAGGAAAAAGAAAAAAAAAAGGAGAGAGAGAAAAAAGGAGACAAGGGAGAAGGAAAAGAGAAGAAATATATACATGGGAGGAATGGAGCCGCATGGAGACAGACAACCACCCCTGGAGCATCTATTATCCTAATAGCCTATGCTATATTGAGGCTCTAACTGATTTCCCCCCTGAGTAATAGTTGTGGCCACCCAGATTAACTGTGCAAGCTGATCTCTTGATTTAATACCAGCTTGCTCCTTTTAGCTCTCATGTCATTTACTGTCTCAAAAAAAAAAAA